TGGCTGGGCGGAGAAGAGAGAAGAAGAAGGAAGGAGAAGGAAGAAGAAGAAGAAAGAAAGAAAGAAAAAGAAAGAAAGAAGAAGAAAGGACGGACGAAAAGATAAGATATATGTGGTTAGGTTTATTTAATGGTCCCATTCCAAAAAGGATTGGGCTTCGGACCCAAAATACCTGATTAAATTGTCATAACTTGAGCTCTGTAACTCCGATTCGCGAACCGTCTGAACCGACGCGATCAAAAAAATATTTCCTACGAGATGACATAAAAGTTGGGCTTAAAATCCAAATTATAATTTTAACCCCTTATTGGGCCCAATTCGTAATTAATTGCCCTAACAATTTAATTATTTCTTTTGGGCCTGATTTCGGGGCGTTACACATTACGTTGCAAATATGCAATTATATTATACGAATCGAAGTAGTTCATTCAGCAACAATTCCTTGCAAAACTTTGTAGAAATATCATACAAGGAAATTGACATTATCCTTATTTCGTATCTATGACTTATTTGATCAGCTTAGAGAATCCATTGTGCTCTCTAAGATTGACTTACGGTCAAGGATACTACCACATTTCTGTTAAGACAGACAAACTGACGTGGAAAGTGAACTGCCACGTGCACTACATTCAGTCTAATTGAATTAGACCAATTTTTTGAAGCAAATCGGAAAACTTGGCTTCACTTAGTGGTTTGGTGAAGATATCCGCGAGTTGTTCTTCAGATGAGATAAACTCAATTTTGATATCTTTCTTTTCCACATGATCTCTGATGAAGTGATGCTTGACATCAATGTGCTTAGTGCGAGAATGATGCACTGGATTTTGTGAGATGGCTATAGCACTTTGATTGTCAAAAAAGATTGTAACTTCCTTTGTCTTGACTCCATAGTCCAGTAGTTGTTGCTTCAGCCACAGAATTTGAGCACAATAACTACCAGCAGCCTCCTTCTGCTGTAGATGTAGAAATGGAGTTTTGTTTCTTACTGAACCAAGAAACAAGATTTCCACCAATGAATTGACAAGTACCGGATGTACTTTTCCGGTCAACTTTGCATCCGGCAAAGTCAGAATCTGAGTATCCCACTAACTCAAACGAATTGCTTTTATCATACCACAAACCCATGTTCTGAGTTCCTTTGAGGTATCTAAGAATTCTTTTAGCTGCTATCAGATGACTTTCCTTTGGCTTTGACTGGAATCTGGCACAAACACCTACTGCATATGAGATATCCGGACGGCTTGCAGTAAGGTAGAGTAGAGATCCAACAATTCCTCTGTAGAGAGTTTGATCTACATCCTTTCCATCTACATCCATATCAAGCTTGGTGGATGTACTTATGGGGACAGAGACAGATGACTTCTGGTCAACTTTGAATTTCTTGATAAGATCCCTTGTGTACTTGGCTTGGTTGATGAGAGTCCCTTCACTTCTCTGTTCGATTTGAAGGCCAAGGAAGTAGTTGAGTTCCCCCATCATGCTCATCTCAAATTTTCCTTGCACGAGGGTTGAGAACTTGGTGTAGAGATCTTCTTTAGTTGAGCCAAATATGATGTCGTCCACATAGATTTGGACTAACAGGAGATCTTCTCCGTCTTGTAGTTTGAACAATGTCTTGTCAATGACTCCTTTGATAAATCCATTGTTTATGAGAAATTGAGACAATGTGTCATACCAAGCTCTTGGAGCTTGTTTGAGTCCATACAACGCCTTTTTGAGTCTATACACTTGATCTCCCTTAGTGTGTAACTCAAATCCTGGAGGTTGTTCCACATAAACTTCTTCTTCGAGGTTTCCGTTGAGAAATGCACTTTTGACATCCATTTGATAGACTTTGAAATCCTTATGAGCAGCAAAGGCTAGAAACAGCCTTATAGCTTCAAGTCTAGCAACTGGAGCGAAGGTTTCATCAAAATCTATACCTTCTTCTGGACAATATCCTTTGGCAACCAACCTGGCTTTGTTTCTGATAACAACGCCGTTTTCATCCATCTTGTTCCGGAAGACCCACTTTGTCCCAATGACATGTTGATGAGTAGGTCTGGGAACAAGTTTCCAGACGTTATTTTTGGAAAATTGGCTGAGCTCTTCTTGCATTGCATTGATCCAATCAGAATCAGCTAGAGCTTCTTCAATATTATTTAGTTCCACTTGTGAGATGAAACAAGAAAGCATAGTTTCTAGATTTTGCTGAGCACTTTTTGTGCGAACGCCAGATTGAATATTTCCAATGACTTGTTGGGGAGGATGATCCCTTAACCAACGAAGATTGTGTTGATTAGGATTGACTGGTTGATCTAGTTCAGCTTCTGGATGAAGAACAGAAGTTGGTGTTTTCGGATGGATTGGCACTGGGTCACCATTTCCGGAATTTTCGCCGTTTGAGTGATCCGGAATATTGGAAGGCTGGCCAAGATTTCCGGTAGGCTCAGCACTGTTTGAGTCCGGATTTCTCTGTGAAGTCTTCAGTGGTAGACTTCTGAATGCAATGAACTCCGTAGGCTTCATTCTATCTCCTTCATTGACTTCGTCATCCTTGTCAGACAGATCCAGAACCTCATGATCATGCTTTGATGGCTTGTCAACCACATGTTTTTCATCAAAAATAACATGTATTGACTCTTCCGTGATCATGGTTCTTTTGTTGAAAACTCTGAATGCCTTGCTCACCATAGGGTATCCAAAGAAGATGGCTTCATCTGATTTCTCATCAAAAGTGTTCAGATGATTCTTCCCGTTATTTAACACAAAGCACTTGCTCCCAAAAATATGGAAATATGATATATTAGGCTTTCTCCCGTTCCATAGTTCATAGGGAGTTTTGTTATGCCTTTTATAAATCATACTCCTATTTTGAGTATAGCAAGCCGTGTTAACAGCTTCAGCCCAGAACCTCTTTGGTAAGGAAGCTTATGCTAGCATTGTTCTCACTGCTTCCTTTAGGGTTCTGTTCCTTCTTTCCGCTACGCCATTCTATTGAGGCGTCCTTGCTGCGGATGTCTGATGAAGAATTCCGTTTTGTTCACAATAATGAATGATGATTTCATTTAGGAATTCTGTGCCTTTGTCAGATCTGATCTTCTGAATGGTCTGACTTGCTTGGTTTTGAATCAGCTTCATGCAGTTGGTGAGTTTCCCTTGAGTCTCCTTCTTGCTATTGAGGAAGATTGTCCACGTGTATCTTGAGTAATCATCAACTACCAACAGGACATATTTCTTTTCACTTAGACTTATTGGTGTAACAGGGCCAAATAGGTCCATGTGGATAAGACTTAATATCCTTGTAGTTGAGGGTGCCGGTTTTGCCTTGAAAGTATATTTGATTTGCTTTCCTTTCTGGCACGCATCACAAATGCTTTCCTTCCTGAATACAGCTTTGGGAAGGCCTTCTACTAACCCTTCTTTGGATAGCTTGTTGAGAGTTTTGAAGTTGAGATGACTCAACCTCTTATGCCAAAGCCATAGAAGGTTAGTGTCACCTTTGCTGATTAGACATGCTTCCTTGACATCGTTCCATATCACTTCATAGATGTTTATGATTCTCTTCCCAGTGAGAATGACTTCATTTGTGGNCTTGTAGTTGAGGGTGCCGGTTTTGCCTTGAAAGTATATTTGATTTGCTTTCCTTTCTGGCACGCATCACAAATGCTTTCCTTCCTGAATACAGCTTTGGGAAGGCCTTCTACTAACCCTTCTTTGGATAGCTTGTTGAGAGTTTTGAAGTTGAGATGACTCAACCTCTTATGCCAAAGCCATAGAAGGTTAGTGTCACCTTTGCTGATTAGACATGCTTCCTTGACATCGTTCCATATCACTTCATAGATGTTTATGATTCTCTTCCCAGTGAGAATGACTTCATTTGTGGAGATGTTCTTGAGAGATGCCATGTTCTTGCAGAATTCCAAGGAGTAACCTTTATCACAAAACTGACTTATGCTAAGAAGGTTATAGTTGAGTCCTTCAACATAAGATACTGCTTGGATGGTTAGTCCCTTGTACACCAGATTTCCTAGCCCTTTAGTAAGGCCAAAATCGTTGCTTCCTCCAAAAGTAACCCTTGGACCGTCATAGGGAATTAGATTGCTCAAAAGGCTCGCATCACCCGTCATGTGTCTTGAGCAGCCACTGTCTAAGTACCAGACACCTGGGTACTTAGCGGCTTCCTGCATTAGGAGGGGGAAGATTTTGGTACCCATTTAAGTTTGGGTCCGGAATGGTTAATTGTGTGTGTCCCTACATCAAGTTTAATGTTGCAGGAAATTTTCCTTGCAGCTCTAAACTTGTTGGGATTGTAATCATAGTTGTAGGCATAAACCTTCCTACGTGCAGGAGGTGCAATTTCCTGTTTCCTCCTAGCAAACCTAGGTTGATAAGACCTATAGTTTTGTCTAGGTTGTGCATAGTGTGACCTGTGTTGGTTATAAGCATACTTAGGTGGCACAAATAGTTTTTGGGGTGGAGGATGACTATATCTTGGCATAGTTCTCCACTCAGAGTTTCTTGGAAAACTTCTGTCTTCCCCATAATGAGTATAGCCTCGTGTATATTGGGAGTTGGAAGGTTTTCTTCTAAAATTGTTTCCTTTTTGAGGTCTGTCCAGCTTCCTATAGTTCTTAGGAGGGACTACCTTTTTGGGAACTTCTGTTGGTTTCTCCTTTTCCTTCCTTTTCTGCTTATTAGGTTTGGCAGTAGGTTTAGGAGGGATGAAAGTTGTCTTCCCTAAACCAACCCAACCCAACCTTCCGCGTCTCGGCTCTGGCGAAAAAAGGAGATACGCGACCCAATTCGGCGATCTGCAAACTCCAGCCAATATGGCCGGCCAACGGCCACCGGACCCCCACCATCTCCCTCCTGACATTCAGCCGGTTCTAACAAGCCCCTACACGTCGGAAACTGCCACTGGAAACGCCTCCACTGGTGCAGCGACCGGTACCACCATGCCACCATTTTTTCCGATGTCTACCGATCATGAGGGCGCCTCTATCCTATCCCAGGTTCTTCTACATCACAGGCGACTTCATCGAACCCAATTTTAGCCCCTACAAGCGCTGGACCAGAGAACACCAGGCCTGCGATCATGGCGGGTCTGCATGTCAGGTTACCCCTCTCTCTCAATTACAAGGCTCCTTTGGAGTCGCGCAGCCTTCTCATGAACTTCAAGAGGTTCATTCGCATATGGTGAGCCAACTCCCAGCTTCTCTGGCGTCTAGTGCATCAGGCCCTACTGATGGTGTATACACGGCAGCAGCCATGGCCTCCCAACTGTCTCAATCGTTTTCCCCAATGGTGCAGCTCTCTAAAGATGTTCCAACGTCTCCAATGATGGCTCTGGCTCCTTACACAGAGCCTTTAAACGTTGGCAATGGTGCTATGTCCAACTCGCATGCATTTGCGTCTGGTGCACCAAGTGTTCGACCAAATGCTCCAATGACAACCTCCACTAGTTCTGCAGATTTTCTTCAGGTTAAAGTCCCTCTAGCTGCCTTGTCTCAGTTTAATTGGAAAGATATTGCTGGGGCTGAACTCAAGGGGTTGATTGACTCGTCCTTTGCATTATTCCATCTCCCCTTTGCTTCTCTTGAACAATTCTCACGTTATAATGTACAAGGGGCTGTTTTTATTGCTTTGATGGGACCGGATGGGAGTGTCTATGGTGATGATAAACCTGTCTCTTATTCCCCAATCACCCAACCTCATTTGTTACAGCATCACAACCTTGAACTCCCACATGAACGTAAGGCACGATTAGCTCAAGAGGCTGCATCCACACGTTCACAAACGCCTGGAATTGCTGCTATCCCAGGTGCTCCGATGCAGAAGGAGAGGGTTACTCAAGCCTCTAAAAATCCTAGTCTATTGGGACCACGTCCCACTCCCCATTCTATGGCAGTAACCCCTCATGCACATGCACGGTTGGGGGGTTTAAGGGAGGTCTCATTTGCACCGTCTAATGATCAGGCCAAAGAGAAACATGGAGTGGCCCATATGGATGTTGCCAAAACAGGCAAAAATGGGGTTTCATCGCTGCCATTTGACGCTACTGTTCTTCACACTACCTCGGCAGTAGCTGGGCTCTCTCACACAACTAAGCCCGGGGGCCACCTAGCGCACCAAAGCTCTCCTTTGCACAAGCCGTGGCAGGTCCCACAACGCCAGGTATTTCTCTACGGGCCAATGTTTCCCGACCTTGTGCTATTTTATCAAATGTGGTCGTTGAGGAGAAAGTCCCTACTTTCCATAGAGGTACGCCTGCTGTTGTTTTTAAGAAATCGGAAATGCAACAACTTTCTCAACTGGATAATTTTCTTTTGATTGGTAAATTTTCTCATGGACGTCCAGAAATTGCTACGTTGAGGAAGTTGTTTGCTACACAGTTTATTCTTAGGGAGTCTGTTCAGATTAGTCATCGTGACCCATGCCATGTTATGCTTTTATTCGCACATCCCCAAGACGGTAATGATATTTTCATGCAAGGGCAGATTCAATTTAATGGACAATTTCCCATGAGATTGTTTAGGTGGTCTCCGGAACTTAACGTTAAAACTGAATCCTCCGTTGCACCTGTGTGGGTCACATTTCCTAATTTGAGGGCTGATTTATTTAATGGAAGTGTTGTCCACCAGCTTTGTAAACACATCGGGAGGTGCTTGAAAGTGGACGTAGCTACGTCTACTTTCTCACGTCCCAATGTGGCTAAGGCTAGGGTGGAGATTGATTTGTTGAAGCCAAGGGTTGAACAGATATGGATTGGTTTCTCTGATGCACCTGGCGAGGAGGATGTGGGCATGTTCCAGCTTGTGGAATATGAACGCATTCCAAAGTACTGCACGGCTTGTTTTAAACAAGGCCACGAGCATTCTACGTGCAATACTTTGACTCCTAGTCAGCCTGATAAGCGGACTGTTGTTGTTGTTCCCCAACCTTCCACGACTGCACACACGACTACCCAACCTTCTCGACGGAGGCGAAGTAGGAGTCGGGTCCGGCGTCAAAGGGAGGGGAAAGGTATTGCTATTGATGAAGCAGGTACAGGTGCAGGTGGCTCCCATCGGGAGGAGTCACATTATGTTTGGAGAGAAAAGACTGCGAAAGGATCCAGGCCTATTGAGGTCGTCGATGTCGATGGTTTAGGTAAGGGGGAGGGACTCTCATCCAGCTTACAGGTCTTTGTGCCCACGTCCTCGCATCCCTCCCCAAATGTTGTTATCCCTAATGTTAGTTTAGCCCCTTCTACTGTTAACGCCACTCCTCCCACACTTGTTGTTGTGGTTGTACAGTCGGCGTCTCGGACTGTAGAGCCATCTGTTCCTCCTATCGGAGTTGAGCAAGGCTCCGTGATTGCTTCTCTTCCTCTCTCTACTTCTTCTTCTTCTCCTATTGTACATGTTCCCGACCCTCAACCCCTAGAGCTGGCTCTTGCTATGTATAATACTTTTGATGCTTTGGCGGAGATGCCTGGGGACAGTCATGAGGTCTGCAACTTTAATACTGTTACATCTTCCATTCCTTCCAATTCGGTAAGGAGGGAGGATGACGAGTGCAGTTCGCAGACTAGTGACGGGTCCACAAGTGATCATTTTTAGGATCCTACTGATATTGCCCGGGATCTTGCAGCGAGTGGCCTTTCACCTGCAAGGGAGGCTCTGACTACTAGGGGTAAATCGGCCAAAAACGCCCAAAAGGCCACAGAGCATAAGACAGGGGTGCCTCCTGCTCCACGCAGAGTCACTCGCTCCACTTCTTCACGTTCTCAATGATGATGCGGTTCCTTGTTTGGAACGTGAGGAGCATCACCTCACAGGATGTCCTTTCTAAGCTTCGAATTCTACTTAAACAGCACTCTCCAGTGTTGTTGGGTATTTTGGAGCCTATGAAGGCACCCTCGCAGATTGACTATTATAGGACACTGTTGGGTTTCACGGGAGCTAGGTGTGGTGCAGATGACCAAATCTGGCTCTTCTGGAACTTTGACATTGCACCGTCCATTCATTTTATTTCTTATTTTGCACAGTCACTGACCTTTTCTTTCTCTCACCCTTCTTTTTCTAACCCTCTTTGGTTGTCAGTTGTTTATGCAAAATGTAAGTATAGGAACAGGGAGCCATTGTGGGAATATCTTAGAGAGACACACGCCGCTCTCCCGGCTGACATGGCATGGGGGGTGGTGGGTGATTTCAACTGTCTGCTCGATCCCTCGGAGAAGAAAGGAGGCCGGCCGTATGCTCCAGTCAAATATCGGCCTTTTGTTGAATGCGTGGAGGATTGTGAACTGGTTGATTCTCCTTTCATTGGGGAGGATTATACCTGGTTGATTCGGAGCCGGATTGACCGATTGCTGTTTAACCAGCCATGGATGGATATGTTCTCTTGTTTGGTGCATCACTTGGATAGAGTTGGATCTGATCATGCTCCACTGTTGGTGGAGTGTAAGTCTAATGAGCGTCCTCCTACACGGCCTTTCACTTTCCTTAATGTCTGGACAGAGCACGAGGATTTTCAGGGAGTGGTGGCTGATTCTTGGCGGGAGGACATTACTGGCAGTCCCATGTTCGTATTTGGTGCTATGCTCAAGCGTCTGGCAAATAGCTTGAAGAGATGGAACCGAGACACCTTCGGTCACATCTTTGATAGGCTTAAGGCGCTTGAGCAGGATGTTCGGGACATTGAGCTACAGTTGCAGACAAATCCTTCGGATGGGACATACATCGAGTTTAAACGGCGCTTTGCCCTTTTGAAGCGCCAGTATCGTATTGAGGATGAGTATTGGCGGCAGAAAGCCCATGCGAAATGGGTGACGGACGGGGAGAGGAACTCGGGGTACTTTCACTCAATTGTGAAGGATCGCCGGCGGAAGCTGTACATTCACCGCATACAGGATGATAGTGGGCAGTGGGTCACGGAGAGAGCTGCGATTGCGACACAGGCGATCACCTTTTTTCAGGCCATGTTCACTGCAGATCCTAGTGTCACATCTTCGGCCTTAGACATCATTCCACGGCTGGTCACTGATGCTAATAATGACCGGCTATGCGCCGTTCCGGAGATGGAGGAGGTCAAGACTGCGGTCTTTGCTATGGATTCTAGGAGTGCAGCGGGACCTGATGGCTATACTGGGGCCTTTTATAAGGCCGCTTGGACGATCATTTGCATGGATTTATTGGCGATGGTGCATGCTTTTTTCTTGGGTCATGATCTGACTCGCTCTCTCACACACACTTCTATTGTATTGTTGCCCAAGAAGCCCAATCCTGTGACCTTTGCGGACTTTAGACCCATCAGTTTGTGTAATTACTGCAAGAAGATCATCACAAAGATTATGGTTGTTCGCTTGGCTTCTGTCTCCCCCGGCTGCTTTCCCCGTATCAGAGTGGGTTTGTGGCGGGGCGCTCTATCACTGATAATATTCTTATGGCCCAGGAGATGTGTCACGGGATGCGGGTGGATAATGAAGATGTCATTCTGAAGCTGGACATGATGAAGGCCTATGATCGGGTCTCTTGGTATTTCTTGATGTCAGTACTGCGCCGATTTGGATTTTCGGAGACATGGATTGATCTCGTCTATCGGGCCATCTCGAATATATGGTACTCAGTCATTATTAATGGGATTCGAGAGGGCTTTTTTTATTCGATGAGGGGCTTGCAGCAGGGGGATCCACTCTCTCCGTCCTTGTTCATCCTATCAGCGGAGGTCCTTTCTCGTTCTTTGGTTCAGCTGTATGCAGATCCTACAGTTGCTCGATTTACATAGCCCCGTGATGCACCACATATCCATCATCTTGCCTACGCCGACGATATTGTCATCTTCACTTTGGCGAGGGGGGACACTTTAGAGAGAGTTCGAGCAGTTTTACATTTCTATGAGCAGATTTCAGGCCAGGCTGTCAGCTTCCCTAAGAGTGCCTTCTATATGCACCCTATGCAACGCCCCAAAACATGGTCTAAAAGTTATTCTATTATAAAAGTATTTTTAGAAACCATATTTTCACTCAACAAAGCATTATTTCTATGTTTGACCAAAATGAAGGAATTTTTGGAGTCAATTATTTTTGTTAAGATTGACTTTTATGGATAGGTCTCAAAGAGACGAATCCAACGGTATATTTTATGAATAAATCTGTTGTACAGAGGTTCAGTTATGACATTTTAAATATGTAATTTGTATAAAAATGAGAAAAAGTCAAAGATGGGAACTTTTGTAAAATGATTTATTGAAATAAATATTTATATTTAATAATATTGATTGAATATGAGACTAATTTTAATTACATATCAATTAATTCAATTTTGACTCTGTCAAAGTCAACACCCAAAAATATGCGGTCAGAAAAAGTATTTCAAACAAAAAATAAAAGTTATATCATTAAATAGAGTTTGATTGTCTGGTGTAAACGGATTTTAATTTGGATAAAGTTGGACCAAAAAGTGTACCCCAATTGAGGTAATTTAATCAAACTAAACTGGACGGAATTAAATTAGCCGCCCCCTCCACTCACGTTAATCGACGGAACGGAAATCACAGGCTATCTACGCAACTTCCTCTCCCAGGCTTATATATAGAGCAATTCATTCTTCATCATCTCCACACCAACATCATCCCATTAGTTAGAGGAGAGTTTAGAGAGTTGAGAGAAGATGTCCGGAGAGCTTCCCGTCACTGGAACAAGCCATGGTGTTCGCCGGAAGTTTCGCCATTTTTCCGCCGGAATCATCGTTTTACTTCGAAGTAAGCCCATAGATATATCTAGTGACTAGAATGTTCGTATAGATCATTCCTATGCTCATAAATGGTCGTTTGGTTGAGTTTTGTGTTTGACATAAATGAAGACCAACCAAGAATCATAAGCCTTGAATTTGATGTTAAAACT